TAAAAAATACCCACCCTCCCCATAACAAAATAAAAAATACCCACCCCTCCACACAACAAAATAAAAATATAGTCACCACCCCCTAAAAATCCACCCCCTTGTCCCAAAAATACCCACCCTCCCCTCTAAAATAAAAATACACTCCTCCCCCCTCCTTTTTAAAAATATAATCCAGTAACCAGAAATTCTTCACCCCAACACTCCCTCCCCGCCATGCTCTCCAAGAGCTTGATCGGAATCGCAGGACTCGCCGCGCTCGAACAGCACGGCTCCCCACCCTCCCCCGTACTCACTGCCATCCCCTCCACTCTGTGGACCTTCCCAAACTCAACTGCTCGCGCCTATCGCTTGCCCTCCGGATCCTCCGTCATCGCACTCGAGTTCAACCCCTCGCCCTGGGATTTCTCCCTCGCCCCCGTCAATCAGGTCTCCACCTCCTCCCCAAACCCCTCCCAAAACCCCCAAGCCAAACTCACTCACCCATTCCTCCCACAGGACCTCCTCCCCAGCCTCCCCAAGCCCCCCCAAGGCGCAAAGGCAATCGCTAACTCCCTCCGCGAGCTCCACGCAATCCTCCCCACCCCCGCTTTCCAGGACCTCCTCCGCTACATACACTCCCTCCCCCCCGATCAATCTCTCACCCTCACCGGTTGGGAGTTCGCCGCCGTGCTCGCACAGCTCCTCGCCCTCTTCATCCCCAGGTCACACCCCTCTCCTTGCCCCAAACACAAAAACTCACTCTCCCCCTCAGGAACCCTGGCTTCAACCTCATCTCCTTCGGAAAAATGCCCCCAGGAAACAAGATGTTCGCTCAGTGGTACAACAACATCCTCCCCTTCCAGTTCTCCTTCCACGCCAAGGGCGACATGCTCGGTCCATACTGCAGAAATATCACCCCAAGGTCCAACCCTGACTCCCTCTGGGAAGATAAGCCCCCCATCTTCCTCGATAACGCAGAAGACACCCCCTCCCCCCCGCACGATGACCTCTCCCTCCACGACAGGAACTACTACAGGCGATGCTGCTACAGCCTCCACAGGTGCCCCACACCATAAAGTCCCCAAAATCCCCTCTCACCCCTCGCAGGTCCAGGTGCACCCTCCCCCCCAAACCCTCACTCCTCCTCCCCGCCGCCGCCTCCAGGATCCTCAAGCGATTCTTCCGCGTCGTCGTCCAAGGTCAACCCCTCTTCCATCTCCCAAAAACAATTCTCACCCCAAAACAATTCAAATCCACAGACAAGGGCCTCATCGCAAACTCCCGAAAGTTCAAGGCCTTCGGAATCATGGACCACGAATTCTCTGCCCTCTCCGAAGACCAGGCCCTCACAAAAATCTACCAGAAGCCCCTCTTGGACTGCTCAAAGAAGTTCTTCGTCATGCTCCGCTACGTCATCAAGGCCGCTGAGATCAACTGCGACTCCCACTACCCTCCCAGGCAAACAAAGCGCTCCAAGACTCAAGCCCCCACGCAGCAGCAGCTCCCAACCCCAAACCAGGAACCAAAGCACGAACCAAAGCACGAACCAAAGCACGAACCAAAGCAGCAACCAAAGCAGGAACCAAAGCAGCAACCAAAGCACGAACACAAGCACAAAACCAAAAAACAGCAGAGGCGGCTCCTGAAACAGCAGAAGCAGCAGCAGCAGCAGCAACAACAACAACAGCAGCAGCAACAACAGCAGCAACAACAACAACAGCAGCAACAACAACAACAGCAGCAGCAACAACAGCAGCAACAACAACAACAGCAGCAGCACCAGCAGCACCAGCAAAAACAAGACCAGCCCTGGAACGTCAAAGTCGTCCTCTCCATCTGCCTCATTCACCTCAACCCAGGCGTCTGCTTCGAGTTCTTCCGTAAAGAAAAAAAACGAAAGTACATGAATGTACACCACGCGCCACCCCCAGAAAGCCAAAGCATGCAGCCTGTATTGGACGCAGAGCGAAAGAGATGCATCGAGAATTTGTCATCGAAATATGAAACACAACTGGAGTATCTAGTGAGGAAAAAGCTTGGGCTGTTTTCGGTGTCAATTGAAGACGACGGCGAACACGACCAGAGGGATCATTTGCGGCTGAATTTCAATGCCGAGATCAACTCCGAAGCAGAGTACAACAACTCACACATCTTGGGTTTGTTCAGGCCTGCGTTCAAGAACTACGACGCCGTTCTCTGCTCGCACGAAGGGGGGGTGTATTGCCACGTGATGACCAAAAAAGAGTATGATACACGGAAGTTCAGCTATTATCACGCTGTGAACGACCTCGGGATTGGTGAGTCGGTTTTGTTCGAGTTTCATGGTTGCGGAACGGTGGAAATCATCGTAAAAATCATCAAAATCATTCAGATATTGGAGTTGGAGGATGCATTGAAAGAAGTGACATAAAGTTCGAAAATTAAAAAAAATCTCAAAATTAAAAGAAACCTCTAAAACAATTCCCTTGCGCAGGGCAAAGCGTACCGCTCTCGCGTGCCCTCGATGGTGCTCAGGCTGAGCTCTTTGTCGCGCTGATGATACGCGTGATAAAGCACCCAGGGCGCATACACCTTGAGCACCCCCCGTCTGGCGATGTAGCCGGATATCCAAATATCGTCGTTGTAGAAACATCCCCGAGGGAGTCTGTTCAGGTACGTCCAGACGTCCTCCCCGAAGTTGCTGACACGATGCGCCACAGCCGTCCAGCCGACTAGCCAGCCCTTGCACACGCGCGGGGTGCTTGCGAACATGTTGGAGATGGAATACGTCGTGAACGCTACGAAGTTGCGGTGCTGGCTGTTCCACATCTCGCAACCAAACGAGAGTGCCATGCCCTGGCGATCGATGTGAGTAGAGAGCCACTTGACTGTATCACTATTGTAATATACGTCGTCGTCGAGCGTTATAATGACGGTGTCGGGGTCGTGCTCCAGCAGCAAAGCCCCCAGGACTTTCGTCGCAGGACCCCAGTCCTTCTCAAGGAACTGAACCGTGATCTTGGGAAACTCGAACACGTCGTGTTTGGTCTCGTTGAAGCTCGCAGCGAAGTACGTTTTGAACCACTTCAAAACGTTTTCCGGGCTTTCATCATAGTCCATAGTGTTTGAAACACAGTCTGAGATGGTGCACAGAGTTTTTTCTTGCTTCCTGTATGTCTTTGGGATGGAGATGATAATCCGGTCTGGCTGTTGTGACTGAGAGAAGACGCTGTCGAGGCACGGGGCCATGTGGAATATCCGCTCGCTAAAGGTAGTGATGCTCACCACCGTACGCGGGGGCTCGTGCACGGCAAGCACGACTTGCGCTGCGGACATTAGTACGTGGCTCTCACCAAACAGGTTTAGCATAAGCAGAATAGCGAGAACAGTGAGGGTGCAGACAACAAGTCCCAGTCTCAAGCGCTGGCCCTTCCCGATAAGCCCCATTTCTTGCAAGGTTTTTGTTCGGATCGAGGCAAGAATTTGTATTATTGATAAATGCGATATATAGAATAATATATTCTTTCGATGATAAAAATATTCTTTCGATGCCAAAAATATTCTTTTGATGCCCACAAACACATGTCTTTGTCACTGTTTCGGACCTTTCGCATATGATGACGACCTTTCGCATGTGATGATTTCAATTCGTTGCTCGGTTTGTCACACAGTGCAACACCACGAGGAAGAGACCAAAAAGATCAGGGACAAAACAAAATCCCCAGTCGTTAGTCTTTTTTATCAAATCAAAAAAAAGGTCAGGTCAACAGCAGTAAAGCAAACATCATCAACTCCACAAAGATCATTACCATGAGTTTCTCAGCTTCAATCAGGCCGAAACCTTGCCCACACCAGCATGAATATGCAGAGGTGCCAGGTGCATCATCTAAAATAAACGAATTATTCGGACATGATGAACAATACTTCCAGTCCGTCAACGAGTACGTCTGCGCCGGGCACGGCTCACAGGCGCGTTGTGCTGCATTGTTGCCGTCTGCGCAAGCTTGTATCTCATGAGTCCCCGCGGAGCATCCCCCGCTGCATGTGGAGCATACACGGTTCTGGGTTGTGTCGCTGCCACCTTGACACGCTATGACCTGGTACTGGCCCACCGTGCAGTTTGTGCAGGCTTGACATTGAAAGGCCACATCCGACCCTGATCGATAGTACCCCGAATTGCACAAGCAATCCAAACGTGATGTACCTCCATACAACGCATTGGAATTAACTGGGCAAGGAGCACAAATGAAACTGTCATCCGCACCGTCCTTGTAGTAATTGGACTGGCAGACGCAATCTAGACGAGACATCGCTTGGCCGCTGATCCACACGGAAGAGTTCTCAGGACAGCGGGTACAAACGAAATCATCATCCGCACCATCCTTGTAGTAATTGGACTGGCAGACGCAATCTTTTCGAGACATCGCTTGGTCGCTCGTCAACAAGAAAGAGTTCTCAGGACAGCGGGTACAAACGAAATCATCAACGCCGCCGTCCCTGTAGTTATTACTCATACAGACACAGTCAGCTCGGGATGTCCCTGGACCCCCACCCGGTATACTTGAGTTGACAGGACATGTCAGACATTCAAAGTCGTCATCCGTGCCATTGTAATAGAAGTCCCCTGTATCACAAATGCAGTCTCTCCTCTTAAAAGCTGGGTATATGCTGAGCACGGATGAATGGGCAGGACACGGCTCACACATGTACAAAGAACCTGTAGTGGCTTTGTAGTGATTATGCATACAGATGCAATTAACCACAGCTTCCCCGGGGGCGCAGAGAGAGCAGAAACCGTCAGGGTCGCCTGAAAATGGCACCAAATTACCGCCGCCTCCAGAGACGATCCTGATCGCAATCATCCCAGAGCCGCCGGAGCCCCCACTGCCTTTTTCAGTAGCACCCCCGCCACCTCCCCCCCCCGTAGATGACCCTCCTGACCCACCTCTAGCGCCCAACAGTACGCTATTTGTACCCTCACCACTTTCCCCATTCGAAATGCCACCAGTGCCCCCACTGGACCAGCCATACTCCCTGTCCTCACAATGGAATGATTCATAATCTCCCACATCTCCCCAGTATCTATAATAACAACCTGTTCTCGCGCCACCCCCACCCCCACCTTTACCACCATTACCCCCTATATAGGCTATATATTGGGAACCGCCACCACCACCAGCCCAGAAGTAGTTGTTCCCGTCGATGTTAATCTGAATCCCATCGCCCCCATGCGGAATCCCCTTGGAGAGATTCACAGAGCCATCTATGCCTTGACCCCCCGCACCCCCCCCCCCGGCCCCGGAAACACGGTCATTTACAAGTTCACCGGCGTCATTATCATAGTAAAAATTTACACTCACACCAGATCCTCCATCGTTTGCATATCCCTTGAGCAATTGCCCATTCCAGACGATTGAAGACGCTGCAACCGACCCCCAATCCGCTCTGCCCCCCGGATAAGTATTAGTATCAACCATCCATGCAGCTGTACCCATACCACCACCGGATCCACCGTTTAATCCCTGAGAACAATATGGACATGAATAACCAGCTGCGCATCCATTATATCGTCCACAACCCCCACCTCCTCCATAAGCAGTCGCCCCGAATATTGATGAAGGCTGTCCATTGGAACCATACACAGGACCACACTGTCCAGTATTTCTTGCACATGCACCATTCCCCCCGTTCCCTGTAGAAGCATGGTGCGTCCCGGCAGGGACAGGGACACTCTGAGCATGTATCACACCTCCGCCGCCTCCACCGCCAGCCCCGCTCGAACCTCCCCCGCCACCACCCGCAACAATGAGCACATCTACCAAAGCCGCCTCCTTAAAAGTAACATTGTACTCTGTATGCGTCCCAGGGCCACGGTGAATGAGATAATAACCGGAGCAGTTGGAGAAAAAACTTCTACACTTCCTATTGAACTGTACACCACCTTCCTGGCATGCTCTTGTTTGGTATTCATCCTGCAGGCATGAAGTGCAGACCTCACACTGCCTATCAACCTGGACATCACCTTCCTGGCATGCTCTCGTTTGATATTCATTCTGCAAGCATGAAGTGCAGTCCATACACTGTCCTTCGCTATCAGGACCGCAATTGATAAGGTACTGGTTGGCAGGGCATGTGATGTGTGAACATATAGGAGCGAACGATATGCCAGAACAATTGACGTTTTTGAAACAAAGAAGCACTGAAAGAATGAATATTCGAACAGTGAGGGTGCAGACAACAAGTCCCTGTTTGAAACACTGCCCCTTCCCCATAAGCACCAATTCTTTAGCAAGATTTAATTTATACCTCATTTCAAACAAACTATATAAATAAGTCCATTAGTTTGATATCACAAAACAATACATGCAAAATATCAAAAACTATGCAATTCCAATAAGTGCAGGCACAGCTCTTGGTTCATTGATGTATGCAACATCAGCGGGAAATAAAAAAAACATGATTTCTACATACGCACCAATGTCTTATCCAGTAATTGGCGCTTTGGCAGGTTACAAGTATGCAAATGATATGATAGAACAGAGATTACATGATGTGAATTTTAAGATCCTAGAGGATCGTTTGGATGCACAATTAGACAGCAATTCACTAGCTATACAAATACTGTTGGAATATGCATTGAAAGACCCTGATAATGATGAAATGAAAAATTCAGAATAAGAAAAATCCTTCAACATGTCAAGAACGAAGTGTAACAAATATATACAAGATATAAACAAATACATGCAAGATATAAACAAATACATGCAAAATATCAAAAACTATGCAATTCCAATAAGTGCAGGCACAGCTCTTGGTTCATTGATGTATGCAACATCAGCGGAAAATAAAAAAAACATGATTTCTACATACGCACCAATGTCTTATCCAGTAATTGGCGCTTTGGCAGGTTACAAGTATGCAGATTCAGACCAGATAAATGCGAGATTGAGAAAGAATAAGCAAATATTACAGCGGAATTCCGTAGCTATAAAACTATTGCTTGAACTTGCATTATTGGAATTCGAGCCTAACAATGAGAAGAAAAATCAACTTCTGGAGCAAATAAAAGAAATTTTTCCTTTGATGGCTAAGTAACAAACAGCTCAACTACCAGCATCCTCCCCCACCCGTATATGGTACCAAAAATACCCCCCCCCCCCACCCCGAAAAAACTTCAAGGCAAGTCGTTGAGTACCCCATCATGCAAGAACAATGGCCGATGTATGAAGGCTTGTGTAGCTTCCATAGGAATTATCGCATCTCACACGCGATGTTGCGTGTGTTGTGGAAGGAACACTACGGGGATGCCACCGCTTTCAGGGTTGAGGACGAGGGTGATTTCTGGATCATCTTCCGACAGATCATTGAGGGCAGCCCAGGAAATGTGCCGTATAACACTATTCTGAATGCTTTCAAAGAGAAAACACTTTATGGACTCAAGGTAATCGAGACCGAGGAGATGTTTCGTCTGGGGTGCAAGCTCGATCCTCTTTTCTGTGTGGACATGAACGGTGACCCCGGTGATTACCTGCTGCCCTGCTACTGCATCATGCAAGACGATATCGCGGAGTGTATCTGGGTGAGGCCAGACATGCGGAGACAGGGGCTCGGTCGCCTGTTTGTACAGAAGCTCCGGATCAGGGAGGCATGGAACCCACTGCCCGAGAGCGTCGGGTTCTGGGAGAGCTGCGGTGTAGAGACTGTTGAGAGTCTTTCTTGAAATAAAGAATCGTTTTTATTTTCACACTACTTCGTAACAAGCAACTTTGCAAGATAGTTCTCGACCCCCTTGATGTGACAGAAGTTGGAATTCATGAATGTGATTGCCTTCGTGTAGATCTTGGAGTCCACGGGGATGTTCCTAGACCGGACGAATCTCAGCGCGGCTTTTGTGATCTGCTGATGCAACTCCTCTGGGGAGACCTCGGTGTCATACTCGACAGCACTGAGATAATGGTCGATGTCACCATAGGTGAGCGGGTTTGGGTACGCCGCGCCGAGGGTGAGGTTCTGTGTGGAGGACTGCATCATTCCTTTGATTCTCGCAAGCGCTTCAAGCCCGATATAGAAGCAATTCGAAATTGACTCAAATTCATGAACCTCCTATTACAGGTGGAGTGGGAGTACCCGGTGGTTATACATGAATATATAGTGCAGATAGGGGGTACATATGTGTTACGTGTTATGTTTCCCAGCACAAAATGTAATACGTGAGTACCCCTTAAATTAAGGCTTTAACTCCCGCCCGCGAGAGGCTCATGACTCTGTTTCTGTGGTTTTCATCGGAAGAGCTTAGTGGATAGTAGATGGGTGTTCATCTTTGTGGTAATACATGTTGACTCTCATTCGCGCTTTCTGCGGCTGGCGGCGTTGCAAAAGGTTGTCTTCTTGGAAATCAGAGGAAATGTGGAAAGCAGATGTATGAACAACAGTGTCATCGGTTCATTGATTCAATGCAGTGACTACGAGATTTTAACCTTTATACGTCAAAAGGATTCCACAAGGAATCCCAAATTCCAAAATCACAAATTCGTCTCCTAAACTCGTGATGAGTATTGTACCTCCAGTGGTTAATATTTGCTTGGGTTTGGTTTTTTTATTTTCTTGAAAAAAAATATAAAAAGTGATGAATGCGACAAACTCAAAAGCTGAGTCAGCGAACCAAAACATGATTTTATGCGACACTTAATGCGAAGAAAAGGGATACACAACACGCGAAAAACGTGTGTTCGAGGATTGAAATGGTGTTCTTCCACCAGATGTTTCAAGTCTCCATTTGTATCCCGGGACGTCAATGCAGCCATGAATATTCTACTTTGTTTCAAGTCACTTCCTCGAAGACCTGGATTTCTGCAAAGACCTCTGTATCATCGCCCTCAATAGTCACTGACTATTGGGGGTCATCAAGAGAAACATTCAATTGTTCGCTCTTCTTGGAAATCAGAGGAAATGTGGAAAGCAGATGTATGAACAACAGTGTCATCGGTTCATTGATTCAATGCAGTGACTACGAGATTTTAAAAGTATCTTTAATGAATAACTCAAAATTTCTTTGGAATCCTCTTGAGAAGGGCTGCAATCAGCCTGTCTTTGTTCTCTAGTTCTAAAGCATGTTTCTGTTGCATCTTGTCGATTTCAGATTCATACTGAAGCTTTGTCTGCTTCACTTTGTCGAATGCTTGATGTTGGAACATCCTTCTTATCCAGGCTTCATATTCGACAACCTTCAAGTTATCAAAGTGATCATTTGACTCAATCTTGACACCAAAAAAATTCAACAAGCTGCGACACAGCATATCATGATCGGAATCTATAGAAGATTGCAACAAAAATGGAACGAGCTTCCTGATAGTAAACCGGTCAAGCATGTGAAAAAGTCTGATTACATACAGTCGCCATTGAACAGTCTCACGGTTGCTGTACTTGGGGCTCAATATTCGCCCACCGACTCCATTCCCACGGCTGAAAAACAAATTACATGTCCAATGTGCAAAAATGCAACTTCGAGCATAATCGAAATCCACAAATGGTTTGTATATCACAACTGCATCAGATTCGCGAGGTATTTGAGGTGGTCGATATACCACAAGAGCCAAAGATACTTTGGGTTTCTTTGACATGCCAATGGAGGAGCGCCGTGCCTTGCGTTTGATGGGCATTGTGACTTCTCAGATTTTCCTAGGTCCCACCCTTTATTATATGTGGAGTGGAGTGGGAGTACCCGGTGGTTATATATGAAGATATGGGGGAAATGGGGGTGGTGGGGGTTATATGGGGTGGTGGGTCATTCCAGGTGGGGTGGGTGTACCCGGTGGTTATATATAAAGATATGGGGGAGATTGGGGGTACTGGGGTTATATGGGGTGGTCGTCCTATTACAGGTGGGGTGGGTGTACCCGGTGGTTATATATAAAGATATGGGGGAGATTGGGGGTACTGGGGTTATATGGGGTGGTCGTCTTATTACAGGTGGGCTGGGTGTACCCGGTGGTTATATATAAAGATATGGGGGAGATTGGGGGTACTGGGGTTATATGGGGTGGTCGTCTTATTACAGGTGGACTGGGTGTACCCGGTGGTTATATATAAAGATATGGGGTAGACAGGGGGTACTTGGGGTTATATAGGGTGGTCGTCCTATTACAGGTGGGGTGGGAGTACCCGGTGGTTATACATGAATATATAGAGCAGGCAGGGGGTACTGGGGGTACATGAACCTGACTGACATGGGGTGGTCGTCCTATTACAGGTGGACTGGGTGTACCCGGTGGTTATACATGAATATATAGGGCAGATAGGGGGTACATATGTGTTACGTGTTATGTTTCTCAGCACAAAATGTAATACGTGAGTACCCCTTAAATTAAGGCTTTAATTGGGGGTACAAGGATCTTAGCCGAAGTGTCATTGATTACAGTACGGGTTGTTTTATTGTATCATACCACCCCTCTATGTTTGTCTCTTGGTTATTCCCCCACTTTGACTACCCCTTATTTTACCTGCTTTGTGTGGGGTACTAAGTGTCATTAGGGGCCGCGGACTGCGTTACTTAAAGCAAGGGCCTAAGTGTCAAGGTGTGAAAATGAACACTTTGTTGTTTAGCTTTGGTGTTGCGAGTATGGCCTATGATCTGTACAAGAGTTACAACAATTCAGGAGTTTCATTGCTTGGAGTGAAGAAGAGGGTGAGAGAGGAGATCATTGAGACTACTAACAACAGTGGTGTTGTTACTACGATCAAGAACAGTCAAATTATAACTCGGACTATGAAGCAAGATCGAGTTCGGGAACTTGAGGAGGAGTTAAGGAAGTTGACCGATGCAGCACGCAGCGATGCCACCGCCCGCACGACGTCGAACGTATCGGCTGATGGAGGGAATGAGGAAGTTGTTGGGAATGGAGATGATTCTGTACGAAGGCAATCCAAACGACGTAAATTGTGATATTCTTGTTGTTGTAATAAACAAGTGTTATTCAAACGCACTGTTAAGCGGCTCAGCGGCTGAGTTCACTATCAGGCGCGTGACAAGCGACATGTCTCTGCGAAGTGAGTTCCGCTGCCACACATACGACACAGATCGTATTTCTCGCGTATCTGCATTGCGGCATCTCTATGTTCTTCCGCGCTGAGTGCAACGGAAGTATACTTCCACCCTCTCACCTTTGTGATGCCGTGTTTCTTCATCTGGTGCAAAGTCTCATTCCTTTCCCAAGACTCCAAATCATGCGGTATCGCGGGGGTTTCTGGGGCTATCAATTTTGGGTTACCCCATGATTCGGCGAATGGTCCCTTCAAGTGCTGTCCAATGCGTTTATCCACGTTCTTCGATCTGCCCACGTATACCTGTCCGTTGGGATATAACAAGATGTATACTCCGCTCGTACCGGGGAGGAGTTGAGGATACTCGATGGGCTTTTTGTTTATCTCTTCATCCTCGCTTTCTTCACTCGACTCACTACTTTTGACCTTTTCATCATCCATCTCATCATTACGCTGTTCGTATGAGCCCCATTTTCGTGAGAAGCACTCTGAAGCGAAATGCCCAGGCTTCCCACAATTGAAGCACTCCACAGTCTCCGTCCGCCTTCTCTTGTTAGCATAGCACTCGCTGGCAAAGTGTCCGGTTTTTCCGCATTGAAAACATGTTCTTCTATTCGAGGTGACGCTCCATTCTGAGACCGCATAACGGGAATTCGTCCAACACTCCGGGGCAATGTGCCCCCACCTCCCACAGTGATAACACACCACTGAGCTCATGCTGCTCTTCCTGTCCTATGCTTGACTGTCAGTCAAGTTTTTACATTCAAGAGGAAATGAAAAAGAAATAAAAATTTAGTCCGCCCGAAATATTCTCTCGATACAAACAATATTCTTTATAGAAAACCTTTTTAACCTTTATACGACAAAAGGATTCCCTGAGGCAAACTCCACAGAGGCAAACTCCTCAATGTCGGTTGGAAACTCATCGGACAAGCACTCCGATCCCCCCCGCCTCTGCTCGCACTTTGATGCTGTATTCCTGTCAGTGCTGATCTTCCTCCTCTTCCATTGTATCGCATCCACAGAGGCAAACTCCTCAATGTCGGCTGGAAACTCATCGGACAAGCACTCCGATCCCCCACACCTCTGCTCGCACTTTGATGCTGTATTCCTGTTAGTGCTGATCTTCCTCCTCTTCCGTTGTATCGCATCCACAGAGGCAAACTCCTCAATATCGGGTGGAAACTCATCGGACAAGCACAAGAGATCCTCAGCCGCCAACATGCCTCCCGTAGACCCTTCCCAGTGCTTTTTTATTTATTGGAAAAAACCAAACCGTAGCAAACTTTGTTTTTAAAAAACAAAAAATACACAAAGATCAACCAAAGCACGTTTCAGGGCAATGAGAGTTCCTCGGGCATACAGAGCACACGCCTGGCTCACTCTGGTAGTATCCGTAGTTGCATCGACATTGCTCTTTCAAAGAAGATCCAGCTGTCGAGTTTGAGTTCTTAAAGCATGCACTTTTCTGGCTTAGGCTACAGTAATTCCCTGCCTCGCATATAGAGCACTGCTCACTCCCTTGCAATGGATTCTTCAAATATGATCCTTCAGGGCAATATTCACACGCTGTCGACGATGCGTTTGAGTATGTGTGGTTTGCGCACAGTTTCATCACCCCATTCACACAAAAGTAACCAGGAACGCACGCAGCACATTGATCGCTCCCTTGCAATGGGTTTTTCAGATATGACCCATCGGGACACAACGCGCATGATGTCCCCGACATGTTCGAATACATATCAACAGGACACTCCTTGCAAATCAAAGATCCCGCTTCGTCGCTGAAATATGACGGAGTACACGAAGTGCACTCTGACTGTGAGATCGCTCCAGAATAATTCAGCGCATATCCTGCGGGACATGGCACGCATTCCAGTGGACCACTCTTGTAGTACCCACTCGGGCATAATATACACTGGTTACTTGACAGATCCCAAACCCCGTTTGGCATGTCTGAACACGCCGTGTCTGGGATGCATGCGCTCTTCGTATTATCCGTATACCCCAACCCAGTCAACGCGTCTATGTATCCGGGAAGGCACGTGCAACGCGTAGACTGTGGGATCGATACCGAATTCGCCGGACAGTCGTAGCAAAACGGGAGCTCTACCTTAGCAGATTGCAGTACCCCTTTCCATTGCCCATGCTGGTTTCCACCCGAGCATGGCAAGCAATCCGTCGTCAACGTTATATATCTTCCCTTCATGTTGCAAGATATCTCATTCTTCTGGTTAGGCCCTGACCACCTGATACCAGAGGCACATAGTCCGTTGTTGTTGTTACAACAACCCACACACCCCCAGCTCTGTGGGCAAGAGTCTGGTGGCGCGCTTGGGTTGTCCCCAATCAACACTCGTTCCCCTGCTCCCGCAAGATTCCAATACGCCCCATTGTCTATACTCCAGATATTCACTTTAGAAATCTCTCTACTCACCCCAAGGTCTATGATTATGAATGGCGGTGTTCGGCAATCGTAGCACCCAATCGATACCTCTTGCGTCACCAAGCCTGTCGTCGTTGGCTCTTCTAATGCATGCTCACACGAACCCCGAACATCAGTGCTTGACGATCCTGGCCCTGTCCATATTCCCTTTCGTTCAAAACCAGGTGTCATCGCCGACCCAATCCTGCACGTGCTCGAACACAACGATCTCTCGTCATCTCCGCATGAGTACAGCAGGTTGATTTTCTCCCCAGTGTATGAGAAGGTGTTTTTCTGGCATGCGTTCAACGACGCACAATCCGTTGGCAATGACGACCCCGCCAGGGAGAAGTTGTTCGCCGGGCACCCCATAATCATACCATCCTTGCAGTAGCTGTTCGCAGGGCATAGCGTACAAGTGTAATCCCCGTTTGCCGGGTAATACCCATTAATGCACACGCAAGCCGAGATCGAAGAAGACAGCTCTACAGACAGCGAATTCGATGGACACGATTGCATCACACTGTTGTTGCAGTAGCTCCCCACAGGGCACCCCCCGCACCTCGATCCCTCCCCTGCAGTCCCATTCCCTTCCACCCAGTAATATCCCGCCTCGCAAGTGCAGTCGTAGATCGACCACGAGAACTGTCCAGCAAAGGAGTTTGTGGGGCATGCCTTGAGGACCCCCCCAAAGCAGTAGCTGTCCACTGGGCACATCTCACAGGTGAACGGTGCGCTGGGTGTGCTGCCTTCAACACGGTGGTATCCAGCCTCACACACACACTCATCCAACCTGCCGGACCCAACCGCTGAAGAAGATAAGTTCGGACAGTGAACGCATTCCTCTAGCTTGTGAGTCAAGGTGACCT